TTTGTAGTTCAATAGTTTAACCTATTTATAATTAATATTATCCTTACAACATTATAGATACTCATAAGAATTACAAGTTAAGATTAAATGTTAAATCATTGCCTTGTCAATATGGGGAAATCAAAAATTACACAGACTTTTCATGTTAACTATGTGATGGAAATTAAGGATTATTTAGTTTATAATTAAATTAATAAAAATGTGAACTTAAAGATGATATTTCTACAATAAATGTTTAATCTCCTCTATTAAATTTAAGAGCTGGATTTTGGAGACCATATTTCAATAGTAATTAAATTGCCTATTGTCTTAATTTGCCTTAGAACTGTTTGGGTGGATGGATAGAAGGAGATTAATCTTGTTATATAGGACACCTTGGAGCTTTATGTGAATAATGTGACTTATATAACTTAAGAGGAGATGGTTAATTTTCAGTTAGTTAATAATATTCTTGTGGATCATGTTTGGACTAATCGAAAAATTCCATTATTATTACCTTAATAAGTATATGGTATATTATAAAAATATAATATTTTTAGGACTTTACTCTCAATTTTAATATCTGTTAATAGCACCTTGAAAGCTATTGAAATTTATGTCAAGTTTTGTTAAATTAAAAAGTTAGGCTTAGTGGTAAAATAAAGTAAAAATGAATCAGCTATCTTAATTAAGATGTTGACAAACTACTTATAAATTATTGGATTTATAGCTACCTTCTAATTGAAGTTACCTTCAAATTTAGAAAGTACAATTAACATAGCTTCATCCCCTATCCAAACTATGTCATACTCATTAGATTGTTTTTTAATTTCTATGTTTAATTTTGAAATCCATTATGGAAGAATGATTTGGTAAATTATTATGCCTTTAATCTATATTAACTTTTTCTTTCTTTGCTACACACTAGCAGCTTAATTTAAAGCGGTAGTTCTAACTAAAAGTGTTTTTACAACAACTTTTATTTACATGTATATTTACTTATAACCAAGTTTAATAGGAGGATTTGTATAACTTATTTCATATCGTTAAATATCTGGATATAAATGGATTTTGGCGAATGTTACTTATAGATTTGATACTTATGATCATCAAAAGTGGATGCTATAATTATGTTTTCCAATGCTACTATTTCTAGCATTTTTGGTACCTTGTTTCTTTTTTTATGAGCTTTTTAAAAATCGAAATAATTTAGATAACAAATCTACTAGACTCTAATTTGGTTATTTATATATTGAATATAGAAAAACAGTCTTTTATTGGGAAGTTATTAAAATAGCCCAAAAAGAATTAATGATCATATTTTTAACTTATTTTTAAGATAGTATTGTAATCAAAGCAACAATTGTTTTTTTGATTTTAGCTATTTATTTAGAAATCACTAACAGATCTCTTCCTTATAATTCAAATACTCTCAACAAATTAGATTATAGTTCTACCTCAATATGTTTAATTTCTATGGGATTATCCATAGGTCTATATGTAGCATATCAATAAGATTTATTAGAGATTCAAATTCCTTATTTCATTATTCTTGGAATCATTAATTTAAAGTTTATTTTTTAGATTACGTCTGAGATTGTAATTTAATTAATAAAAGAGAAAGCAGATCAATATTCAGATAATTTAGACAATATTAGAGGAAAGATTTTAAAATGGTTTCCAATTATCAATAAGATTCCATTTTTTAATAAAATATTAAAAAATAGTCAGGAACAAAGAATTCGTGTGTTAAAACGTTTTCTTAAGATTAAAAAATTCTTAATGCCTCAAGCAAAAAAAATTATGAGTTATAAAAAGTAGTAGTTGTAGCCTGCAAATGAAAACTAGAATAAGAATTTTGAGACTATTCCATTTAGCTCAAGAATATCTGGATTATTTGAAAAATAATATCTAAATTAAGAACCAGAAATTCTATTCAGCGCGTCAAGAAATACTTTTACATCCTAAATGTTAGAAAAATAGTATACTATTTAATTTTATATCCTTTTAGACCTAAGTAGGCCGATAAAAAAGTGGAAGAATTAATGGGAAATAATCCTTTGAGGCGTAAAAAGTTACCATCTATTGCACAAGTTTCACCACTGGAAAAAATTAAATCTGAAGATTGATTAGCATAAAATATTAATTATCAATATTAAAAATGCATTCTACTAAATTTTATAATTGATATCTAATGTTATTCATAAAATTTATATGATTCATCTTATTCTATTGGAGTATAATTTCTCAATACCTATGCTACTTAATTTTACATTTGGAAAACTTGAACTTTATGAACTTCAATGCAAACTTATCATTATTTATTATTAAATATAAAATCATATGATAAAATTTATAGCAAAAGGGAGAAGGAGGCAGATATTTATTTTTTTCACAAATTTATTATTTTATAGCTAAAAATATAATAATTCAATAAATTTTATAGTTTATACTTCTATAGTATAATATTTTAAAGAATGAACGGATACCTAATTATCAAATAAATTTAATATCAATATGGAATATGTATAAATTCATTCTTGTTAAAAATATAATCTTAGAATTTTTATGCTAAATTATTCATTGAACAATCAATATAATTCTGAAAAGTTCAATAATTCTATATAAAAAACAAAAAGAACAATAAATTGGTTTTAAACAATATATTATTATTATTTATGTATTGATATTGGATTAATTTTAAATTTCAATTATTTTAATAAGAGTATTCTTATTTTTAATTAATCTCAATATCCAAATTAACCCAAATACCTACTTGTAAACCATTAATATTATATTCACGATTATAAGCGACTTATTTAATCACAATTTAAACCCTTTATCCAATTCTATCCACTTTTCTAATTTTCACCTACTTATAACTATTAAACTCTTTATCTCATTCTACCAACTTTCTGATCTTTTTTACCCTCATAGGCTCCTTTCCCATAAATTTTCATTTTGAATTTACATTATGTTAGTTTAATAAATCCTCTTCCACCTACCTATTTTTTTATCTTTATTATACTCTCCCTCCTCTACAATCTTTCTCTAATAATTATTTTTAGAGATACCTACAATAATTCTTACCTATTTCTTTCCATAAACCTATTTTTAATCCATTATTTGAGTAATACCCTCCAAAATGTCTTAGTATTTCTCCATTCCATCATTTAGAAATCTTCTATACGTCTTAATTATAATTTCCTATCCATTCCAGATATTTTATTTATTCTAAATTATTGAAAATTTGAGGTTCCAAAGACAAGCAATTTGATATTCTATAATATTTTACAAAATCTTACAATCCAACTATTTATTCTTTATAGAGATACTATATCTCTTTCTGTTATGTGAATTAGGTAGTGCATACCTAATAACTTTTGTAGTAAATTTCCATTTCAATTATTTTAATTAATAAAAATTACGACATTTGCTTATGATTTTTCTATTAGATTATGATTTGGTTCCCATTTCTATTTAATTCCCCCTAATAGATATAAGTAACCTTTTCTTCAATTATTCTGTGATCATGCATTTATAATGGTTAATAAGAAGTTTGCTTCTCTTCTTTCAATTTAGGCAATTATCAAGTATTCATTTTAATTCGCTTCATTATGTTTTTTTAGTTAATAACACGTGATTATATTATGCATCCCCATTATGCTCTTTTTTCTTTAATTCTGGAATACTTTATTATTGCAGTTAACTAGCAATATTTGATTTTGTGGTTTTACCTCTGTTGAGGTTTGATTCAAGTATTGTTTAAAATAATTAGGAAGTTCTATTGAGAAGTAAAAAAAGAGATAAAAGTAAATAAAAAGACTGATGATTAATGATTTAAAGATATAATTTTATTGATATAAAATAAATAATATTTTAATACAGATTAAGTAGCTTGTGATAAATATAATAAAAATTGTTCCTTTTATTGTTTATAAAATTACTATTAATTAAAAATTAAATACCTTTATATTCTCCCCAATATTCAATAAATCATTATACCCACTAAAATAAATTGACCCTTTTGGTTTATATTAGATCCAAGTATTTTTGAAGTTGTCTGATAGATAGAATAGTCGTCAAAAGGTTTTGACCTTGATACCCAACTTTGAAATTACAATATTTCTTTTTACATTCTTAAACTTAAAGATTATCAAGTTATCTTGCAATAATTTCATAGAAAGTTAAATCATATATAAGGTATTAAATTAATTAAGTTTATAAGAGTATAATATTTTTTATATATATAATTAAAATTATCACATTGTTATTAGTGTGATTGTTTGTTAAGATTATTTAAGATGTATTTCAAAAAGTATGACCACATATCAAAGAAGAAATTTGATTATAAGTTAGAGTAATAAACCCAAGATATGG